ATTGAGTTTTTAGCATGAAGGGCTGTTGAATTTTAATGAAAGCTTTTTCTGCATCTATTGAGATAATTATATGGTTTTTGCCATTGGTTCTGTTTATGTGATGGATTATGTGTATTGATTTGTGTATGCTGAACCAGCCTTGCATCCCAGGGATGAAGCCAACTTGATTGTGGTAGATAAGCTTTTTCTTGTGCTGCTGGATTTGGTTTACTGGTATTTTATTGAGGATTTTCACATCGATGTTCATCAGGGATATTGGTCTGAAATTTTCTTTTTTTGTTGTATCTCTGCCAGGTTTTGGTATCAGGATAATGCTGTCCTCATAAAATGAGTTAGGGAGGAGTACCTCTATTTCAATTGTCTGGAATAGTTTCAGAAGGAATGATACCAGATCCTCTTTGTACCTCTGGTAGAATGTGGCTGCAAATCTGTTTGGTCCTGGGCTTTTTTTGGTTGGTAGGTTGTTGATTACTGCCTCAATTTTAGAACTTGTTATTGGTCTATTCAGGGTTTTGACTGCTTTCTGGTTTAGTCTTGGGAGGGTTTATGTGTCCAGGAATTTATCCATTTCTTCTAGATTTTCTAGTTTATTTGCATAGAGGTGTTTATAATATGTTAGTTTGTATTTCTGTGGGATCAGTGATGATATTCCCTTTATCATTTTTTTTGGTGTCTATTTGATCCTTCTCTCTTTTCCTCTTTATTAGTCCAGCTAGCAGTGTTAATCTTTTCAAAAATCCAGCTCCTAGGTTCATTGATTTTTTTGAAGAGTTTTTCGTGTCTTTATCTCTTTCAGTTCTGCTCTGATCTTAGTTATTTCTTGTCTTCTGCTAGCTTTTGAATTTGTTTGCTCTTGCTTCTCTAGTTCTTTTAATTGCGGTGTTAGGGTGTCAGTTTTAGATCTTTCCCGCTTTCTTCTGTGGGCATTTAGTGCTATAAATTTCCCTTGAAACATTGCTTTAGCTGTGTCCTAGAGATTCTGGTATACTGTCTTGGTTTGAAAGAACTTTTTGATTTCTGCCTTAATTTCTTTATTAACCCAGTAGTAATTGAGGAACAGGTTGTTCAGTTTCCATGTAGTTATGTGGTTTTGAATGAGTTTCTTACTCCTGAGTTCTAATTTGATTGCACTGTGGTCTGAGAGGCTGTTTGTTATGATTTCCATTCTTCTGCATTTGTTGAGGAGAGTTTTACTTAAAATTTTGTGGTCAATTTTAGAATGAGTGTGATGATGTGGTGCTGAGAAGAATGTATTGATTTGGGGTGGAGAGTTCTGCAGATGTCTATTAGGTCCACTTGGTCCAGAGCTGAGTTGAAGTCCTGAATATTCTTGTTAATTTTCTGTCTTATTGATCTGCCTAATATTGACAGTGGGGTATTAAAGTCTCCCACTATTATTGTGTGGGAGTCTAGGCCTCTTTGCAGGTCTCTGAGAACTTGCTTTATGTATCTGGTGCTCCTGTATTGGGTGCATATATATTTAGGATAGTTAGCTCTTCTTGTTGCATTGACCCCTTTACCATTATGTAATGCCCTCCCTTGTCTTTTTTGATATTTGTTGGTTTAAAGTCTGTTTTATCAGAGACTAGTTTAGCAACTCCTGTTTTTTTTTTTTTTTTTTTTTTTTTGCTTTCTATTTGCTTGGTGAATATTCATCCATCCCTTTATCTTGAGCCTATGTGTGTCATTGTATGTGAGATGGATCTCCTGAATACAGCACACCAATGGGTCTTGACTCTTTATGCAATTTGCCAGTCTGTCTTTTCATTGGGGTATTTAGCTCATTTACATTTAAGGTTAATATTGTTATATGTGAATTTGATCCTGTCATTACAATGCTAGCTGGTTATTCTGCCCATTAGTTGATGCAGTTTCTTCATAGTGTAAATGGTCTTTACAATTTGGTATGTTTTTGCAGTGGCTGGTACCAGTTTTTCCTTTCTATATTTAGTGCTTCCTTCAGGAGCTGTTGTAATGCAGGCCTGGGGGTGACAAAATCTCTCAGCATTTGCTTGTCTGTAAAGGATTTTATTTCTCCTTTGCTTATGAAGCTTAGTTTGGCCGGATGTGAAATTCTGGGTTGAAAATTATTTTATGAATATTGAATATTAGCCCCAACTCTCTTGTGGCCTGTAGAGTTTCTGCAGAGAGATCCACTGTTAGTCTGATGGGCTTCCCTTTGTGAGTAACCCATCCTTTCTCTCTGGCTGCCCTTAACATGTTTTCCTTTATTTCAACCTTGCTGAATCTGATGATTATGTGTCTTAGGGTTGCTCTTCTTGAGGAACATCTTCATGGTGTTCTCTGTATCTCCTGAAACTGAATGCTAGCCTGTCTTGCTAGGCTGGGGAAGTTCTGAATAATTTATTGAAGAGTGTTTTCCAACTTGGTTCCACTCTCCCTGTCACTTTCAGGTATACCAATCAAACATATGTTTAGTCTTTTCACATAGTCCTGTATTTCCAGAAGCTTTGTTCGTTCCTTTTCATTCTTTGCTCTCTAACCTTGTCTTCATGCTTTATTTCATTAAGTTGATCTTCAATTTCTGATATCCTTCCTTCCACTTGTTTGATTCAGCTATTGATTCTTGTGTATGCTTCACAAGTTCTCCTGCTGTGCTTTTCAGCTCCATCAGGTTACTTATGTTCTTCTCTAAACTGGTTATTCTAGTTAGCAATTCCTCTAACCTTTTTTCAAGGTTCTTAGCTTCCTTGCATTGAGTTAGAACATGCTCCTTTAGCTCAGAGGAGTTTATTATTACCCACCTTCTGAACCCCACTTCTATCATTTCATCAAACTCATTCTCCATCCAGTTGTGTTCTGTTGCTGGCGAGAAGTGTGATCCTTTGGAGGAGATGAGGGATTCTAGTTTTTGGAATTTTCAGTCTTTTTATGCTGTTTTTTCCTCATCTGCAGGGATTTATCTACCTTTGGTCTTTGATGCTGGTGACCTTCGGATGGGATTTTTGTGTACGTCCTTTTTGTTGATTTTGACTCTATTCCTTTCTATTAGTTTTTCTTCTAACAGTCAGGTCCCTTTGCTATAGGTCTGCTAGAGTTTGCTGAAGGTTCACTCTAGATCCTATTTGCCTGGATATCACCAGCAGATGCTGTAGAACAGCAAAGCCTGCTGCCTGTTCCTTCTTCTGGAAGCTTCGTCCCAAAAGGGCACCCGCCAGATGACAGTTGGAGCTCTCCTATATGAGGTGTCTACGGACCCTTGCTGGGAGGTGTCTCCCAGTCAGGAGGCACAGGGGTCAGACACCCATTTGAGAAGGCAGTCTGTCCCTTACCAGAGTTCAAGTGCTGTGCTGGGAGATCTGCTGCTGTCTTCAGAGCTGGCAGGCAGGAACATTTAAGTCTGCTGAAGCTGAACCCATAGCCGCCCCGTCCCCAAGGTGCTTTGTCCGAGGGAGACAGGAGTTTTATCTCTAAGTCCCTGATTGAGGCTGCTGCCTTTCTTTCAAAGATGCCCTGCCCAGAGAGGAGGAATCTAGAGAGTCAATCTGGCTACAGAAGCTTTGCCGAGCTGAGGTAGTCTCCACCCAATTCAAACTTCCAGATAGCTTTGTTTATACTCAGTTGGAAATGCAGAAATCACCCACCTTCAATATTGATCTCACTGGGAGCTGCAGACTGGAGCTGTTCCTATTTGGCCATCTTGCCAACCACTCTATATAGACCTTTTTTTTTTTCTGAGACAGGGTCTCACTCTGTCACCCAGGCTGGGGTGCAATGGCATGATCATAACACACTGCATCCTAGAACTTCTAGGCTTAAGCAATGCTCCCACCTCAGCCTTCTGTGTAGCTGAGACTACAGGCTCACACCACCACACATGGCTAATTTTTTTTCTTTTTGTGATGGAGTTTCACTCTTGTTGCTCAGGCTAGAGTGCAATGGCACAATCTTGGCTCACCGCAACCTCCACCTCCCAGGTTCAAGTGATTCTCCTGCTCCCAAGTAGCTGAAATTATAGGTGTGAACCACCACATCTGGCTAATTTTTGTCTTTTTAGTGGAGATGGGGTTTCCCCATGTTGGTCAGACTGGTCTTGAACTTCCGACCTCAGGTGATCTGCCCTCCTCAGCCTCCCAAAGTGCTCGGATTACAGGTGTGAGCCACTGCGCCCAGCCCACATGGTTAATTTTTAAAAAATTATGAAACTTTCCAAGTGCAAGCTAGCATAAATCATGATGGTGCAGTATGGCACAGCACTATTATGGATACCCCTAAGGTATCGTGCCTAAAGGGGAAGTGAAATAGAAGAAGGCGAGGGAACTGTGCAGTAAATCCATCTTGAATTTAGTAATTTTAGACTCCTTTCACATAGCTTGTCCCATTGATTAGGTATAAAGATCAACTTCCATCAAAACACAATCATCTCATTACCAATAATTAAAAAGCCAAGATTCTATTTTGGTACTGTGTAAATATAAAATACTTGTGATTCATGCAAACTTGGATGACACAAATAAGTTTACATCAGATGACATTTGTTGAGCATGAGACCAAACACTGATCTTATATAAAATGTAACACTTTTAGAGAGAAGTTCCTATATATACTTACTAATACATTTAAATTCTATATTTTACAAGTCACATTATTTTTGAAAAATAAACCTGTGCATTATGTAAACTTCTAATTATACTTTAATCTTATACTACAACTGAAATGGCATTAGTATTTTATATTTATCTTCATATTTCAGTATTGAAAAAGTATATAAAATAAGAAATTATTCTGATAAACCAGTAAGTCTGAATTGGGAAATATAAGGAGAAAATACTCATGCAACCTATGCCTATGGCTCTCTACTTCTTCTATTCTTAGATTTATCAAAGTTCATAAACTTACTTGTTTATCTGTCTCTCCAGCTTCAATGCAACCTCTAGGAAGATAAGAACTAACTGCTATTTATATCCCCATGGTCTGCTGGATGATGTTCAAAAATATTTATAAATGAATAAATAACTAAATGACATCAATGATCTTACCTGGTACTTAAGACACTGGTCTTTTATATCAGAAGATGAAGTCACAGAACTATCTAAAGAGGAAGAACTGTCTCCTCCAGGTTTCAGTTGGCAGCATTTCCCAAAGACTTTAACTTGAGCATCACTGCAGAGTTTCTGAAATACAGATAATATTTCCACTCGTATTTTAACAGATTTTTAACCATACACAAATTTCATCATAGTATAAAAACCTTTGGAAAAACCAAGGATGAAATAACTCAAAATAATACAACCTTAATGACTGTTTGCATTTTACTATGTTTTCTCCAGTACTATTTTCTATTCTTTGTCTCATAACTGTAATAAAATTTGTGGGGTTTGTAATGCACTTTTCTGGCCAACATTATTACATCCTGAGAATTTTCTAGCTTACCAGGGCCTATACAATATTCATTAATACTGATGTAACAATATATTGCAGTAGTTTTTCAAATTATTTGCTCTCAAAATCCTTTTATGGGTCAGGCATGGTGGCTCACAACTGTAATCCCAGCACTTTGGGAGGCTGAAGCAGGCAGATCACTTGAGGCCAGGAGTTCAAGACCAGCCTGACCAACATGGAGAAACCCTATGTCTACTAAAAAGACAAAAATTAGCCAGGCATGGTGGCGCATGCCTATAATCCCAGCTACTTGAGAGGCTGAGGCACAAGAACCTTTTGAACCTGGGAGGCAAAGGTTGCAGTGAGTTAAGATTGTACCACTGCACTGCGCCCTGGGTGACAGAGTGAGATTCTGTCTCAAAACGAACAAACAACCCCCGCCTGAAAAAAAAGCAAACAAACAACCTTTAATGTTCTTCCAAATTATCAAGGATCCCAAGAGCCTTTTGTGTACACGGGTTATATCTATCAATATTTTTCCATATTTTAATTAGAAATTAAAACTAAGACAATTTAAAAATACTTATTCATTCCTTTAAATATAACAATAAACCCAAGTTAACGTAAGTAACATTGTCATAAAAAATTATCTATTTTTCTGGGTAGAAATGCAGGGATGAAAGGAGAAATGCAAATGAGACTTTTAGATTTAACCACACATAAATATATATGTTTAATCTTTTTAAATGAGAATACATTAATGTAATGAATAAATTTTTAATAAGAGAATGAACCGAGGACCAGATGACTGTGGAGTCTAATGTGGAAGAAAAATGTATTTCTTTTTTTTTTTAATTCCCCTTTCTCTTTCTCCTCTCCAATAACTTCTCTATGTCTTTCACTGTTCACAACTACCAAAGTTACAATCCACCAACATCAGTGATATTCCTAAAAGTATTCCAGTGCTTTATCATAGTTACCAGTATGTCCAGTCTACCATTTAACAGACCTCAGGTAGGTTTTTAGAAGAAACAATCTGAATAAAATCATTTATTGAAGACTGATTGTTCTATAGTTACCAACATCACCAAAAGCATCATTAAAAATTACATTTAGTAGTCTCCAAATCATCTCTAACAAAAAAATTTAATGTAATAAGAATAAGAGCTTTAGAACTAGATGTGAGTTCAAAACTTGGATCCTTGAGCAAGTTAATTGGCCTCTCTAAACCTTAATTTGTTATTTGTTTAATGGGAAGAAAAATCCTACCTAACAACACTTAAGGGAACGTGTGTGTGTGTGTGTGTGTGTGTGTGTGTGTGTGTGTGTGTATTTTATATACATACATATGTAATAATATAATACATAATAGTTATAATATTCTAACTATCTCCACAGAGCTGAGACTACAAGCGTGTCACCCTATCCAGTTAATTTTACTTTTTGTAGAGACAAGGTCTCATTAGGTTGCCTAGGTTGGTCTCCAACCCCTGGGCTCAAGTGATCCTCCTACCTTGATCTCCCAAAGTGCTGGGATTACAGGTGTGAGCCACTGCATTCGACCTAGTTATAACTGTTACTAGAAAACAGTTAAAATGAGGGGCTGATAAAACTGAAGTCAGAGACTTCACCAGGTATTTCCAGGCATGTTTCAACATTTGATAAAAATGTGGGTATTTTTACTACTGGTATCCTTGGCCACATCTTAATAACCTTATTATTTATTGATCACCAACAAAATGCCAGGCTTTATTGTACATTTTCTCTAATACAAAACATGGTAGATATTATTGATCCTATTTTACAGATGAGAAATGTGAAGCTCAAACAGGTTAGGTAACTTCACCATGGCTATAAGAGCTAGTAAATCCGTTATCTACCTACAGACAAAACCCAGTTGGCTTGACTTTCCATTATCACAAACCACCATTTCTTCAGTCAACAAAAATAATTAAGTACTATGTGTTCTAAGCCAGGGGGTGGCTGCAGACCAGTACCAGTCCATGGCCTGTTAGGAACCAGGCCACATGGCAGAAGGTGAGTGGTGGGCAAGTGAGCATTATCACCTGAGTTCCACCTCCTGTCACATCAGGCTCAGGATTAGATTCTCAAAGGAGCTCGAATACTATTGTGAATGTGCATGCAAGGGATCTTTCTCTAAAGAGATACAACAAATAAATGCAATACAAGATTCTCAACTGAATCCTTTGGTTCTATAGGATCTTATTTGGACAACTTGCCAATTTTTAATGGGATCTGAGGATTATTTGGTTATCATATATAAATAATTTTCTGAATTTTTGCTGTATTGTGGTTACACAGAAAAATGTTCATGTTACGTAGAAGAATGTTCATGTTTGTCCTTTTTTGTTTGTTTCTGAGACAGGGTCTTGTTTTGTCACTCAGGCTAGAGTGCAGTGATGTGATCCTGGCTCACTACAACCTCCACTTCCTGCACTCAAGCAATTCTTCTGCCTCAGCCTCCCAGTAGCTGGGACTACAGGCACTCACCACCACGTCCAGCTAATTTTTGTGATTTTGTAGAGACAGGGCCTTCCTATGTTGGCCAGACTGGTCTCAAACACCTGGCCTCAAGTGATTCACCTACCCTGGCCTCCCAAAGTGCTGGGTTTACGGGTGTGAGCCACCGCACCCAACCTAGAAATACCTTTTCCACTCCACAGATATATAGGAACTCCCTCATTTTTTCTTTTGTAATATTATAGTTTTATATTTTTACATTCAAATGTTTGATATACTTGGTTTCATCCTGATGTATACTGTAAGATACGAATCCAAATTAAGGCCAGGCACAGTGGCTCATGCCTGAGCCCAGGAGTTTGAGACCAGCCTGGGTAAAACAGTGAGACTCCCATCTCTAAAATAATAATAGTAAGTAATAACAATACAAGCCCAAATTAATCTTTCTTCCACATGGCTATCCAATTATCCCAGCACCATTTAAGATGATGCCTTAATCATAAACCATAATTCCTGCATGTATTTGGATGTATTTCTGATCCTCTATTTTGCTCCATTAGTCTATTGCCTATTTATGTGTCAATAACACACTGTTTTAAATATTGAGACTGTGCAGTACTGCAATTTTGAAATGTGATAGGACCACTTATCCTCGCTACCCTCTTTTTCAGTTTTCCAACCGATCATTGCTAATTTTTTTTCCATTTGAACTTTATAATTCACTATCTAGTTCTAGACACTAACTCACCCCCCACATACAAAAATAAGGATAACATTGTTTCTGTGATAGCATTATTTCACAAAGTACTATGGACTATTTTACAACATTAAGTACTGGCATAGAATATGTTTTGCCTTTCTATTTATTGAGGTATGTTTTCATGTCCCTTAAGAAGACTTTTAAAGTTCTAAACTTACAGATTTGGTTAAGTGTATGCATTGGCAATTTGTCTCTCTTTTTTTTTTGAGATGCCAGGCTGGAGTGCAGTAGCATCATCTTGGCTCACTGCAACCTCCACCTCCTGGGTTCAAGTGATTCCTCTGCCTCAGCCTACTGAGTATCTGGGACTACAGGCCTGTGCCACCACACCCTGCTAATTTTTTTATTTTTAGTACAGATGGGGTTTCACCATGTTGGCCAGGATGGTCTTGATCTCCTGACCTCGTGATACACCTGCCTCAACCTCCCAAAGTGCTGGGATTACAGGTGTGAGCCACCCCGCTGGGCCCACTTTGTCATTTTAATTGCTATTTTATATTATTTTATTTTTTTGAGACAGAATCTTGCTCTGTTGCCCAGGCTAGAGTGCAGTGGCAAGATCTCAGCTCACCGCAAACTCTGCCTCCTAGGTTCAAGTGATTCTCCTGCCTCAGCCTCCTGAGCAGCTGGGACTACAGGCATGCACCACCATGCCCAGCTAATTTTTTTCTATTTTCAGAGAGGCAGGATTTCACCATGTTGGCCAGGCTGGTTTCGAATGCCTAACCTCATGATCCACCTGCCTCAGCCTCCCAAAGTGCTAGGACTACAAGCCTGAGCCACCGTGCCTGGCCTTAATTGCTATTTTAAATGAACCATTCACTTTTATGTCTTCAAACTGGAAGCTATTTGCATATATCGAGCTTACTGATTCCTATATATTAACTTAAATCCTATGTGCAAATTTGATATTATAAATAAGACTCAACTACCCAATTAGCACTGTATGATGCATCAGAGTGTTCGCATACCTTAAAATCTATATTCATCTTTCCAAAGTTATACAAATTTACTGATGTATGACTTTATCCTTGTTTATAATTAGTGAAAGCTGATCCATGTGAATAGTCATATAACTTCACTGGGAACTCATGAAATAGCATTGCACTATTGTTGACATAAAAACAATGTCTAGGATAAGGATAGGAGCATGATAAAATCACAATGGATTCATTTGCCAATATTAGTGTTTATACTGAAACCACATCGCAATATTTTTTCAAACATGGGAAGTTTCTTCTGTTAAAAGTGTTTGAACCTGAGCAACTCCATCTTGAATAGGGGCTGGGTAAAATGAAGCTGAGATCTATTGAGCTGCATTCCCAGATGGTTAAGGGATTCTAAGTCACAGAAGGAGATAGGAGGTTGGCACAAGATACAGGTCATAAAGACCTTGCTGATAAAACAGGCTGCAGCAAAGAAGCTGGCCAAAACCCACCAAAACCAAGATGGTGATGAGGGTGATCTCTGGTCATCCTTGCTGCTACACTCTACCAGCACCATAACAGTTTACAAAAAAATCTGGAGACAACAGATGCTGGAGACGATGTGGAGAAATAGGAACACTTTTACACTGTTGGTGGGAGTGTAAATTAGTTCAACCATTGTGGAAGACAGTGTGGCGACTCCTCAAGGCCTTAGAAATAGAAATTCCATTTGACCCAGCAATCCCATTACTGGGTATATATCCAAAGAATTGTAAATCGTTCTACTATAAGGACACATGCACACGAATGTTCATTGCAGCACTGTTAACAATAGCAAAGACCTGGAACCAACCCAAATGCCCATCGATGATAGACTGGACTGGGAAAATGTGGCACATATACACCATGGAATATTATGCAGCAATTAAAAATGATGAGTTCGTGTCCTTTGTAGGGACATGGATGAATATGGAGAACATCATTCTCAGCAAACTGACACAAGAACAGAAAACGAAATACCACATATTCTTACTAATAGGCAGGTGAGGAAAAATGAGAACACATGGACACAGGGAAGGGGGTACTACACACTGGGGTCTATTGGGGGGAATAGGGGAGGGACAGCGGTCGGGGGGAGCTGGGGAGGGATAGCCTGGGGAGAAATGCCAAATGTGGGTGAAGGGGAGGAAGGCAGCAAAACACACTGCCATGTGTGTACCTATGCAACTATCTTGCATGTTCTGCACATGTACCCCAAAACCTAAAATGTAATAAAAAAAAAATGTCACTGGCAAAGTCAGGAAGTTACCCTATATGGTGTAAAAAATGGGCGGCATGAATAATCCACCCTTTGTTTAGCATATAATCAAGAAATAACCATAAAAATGAACAGCCTGCAGGCCTCAGGGTTGGGCTGCCGATGGAATTGCCATTCTTTATTCCTTTACTTTCTTAATAAACTTGCTTTCACCTATTGGACTTGCCCTGAATTCTTTCTTGCTCAAGATCCAAGAACGCTCTCTTCACTTCTTTAAGATCAGTACACATATTCACTTTAATCAGGTTTTATAGTTCAACAGTCATTTTTCATAGAATACAACAGATCTGAAAAAATGTATTCTAAGAAAGCTATACACTGATTAACAATTTTATTTCAACTTATATAAGAAATTATTTGAGCATGCAAACTACTTTGGCTTCTGAAACGAAATCAAAGCATTTATGTAGTTCACTGTGTATAGAATTTAAAATATAATAAAACGTATAGTTTCCTAATTTTGTCTGCAATCCCATTAAATATGCTCTACATACACAATGCTTGCTTTGCACGGAAATACAAAAATAATCTCCTTATGTTAATAAAGTGTTATAGTCTTCACAGAAAATTCCTTGGTTCAACCAAACATAAAAATGGATCAATATTCCACTGTGAAATATTGGCTTCTCTCTCACTACAGATAAAAGGTACTCAAAAGAGTGAATTATGATCACCTACAATCTTTACAAGGAAAACTACCATATGTCTTACACATTTAAAAGGGCTTAGTAAGTATTTTTACAGTGACCATTTTTTTAATGCTGGAATAGCTACAAAGTAAACAAGAATCACTAATAGGATTTTGATTTAATTAAACACACGAAAAATTGCGTAAGCCCAAATATTACTATCCTCTACTCCTACCTGGTGACTTTCAAATGATATTTTTTCAAAAATAATCTTAAAATTCAGATTCCGGCTGATAATAAACTGTCCCAAGTACCTGCACTGGTGCATACCACACTATTTGAGCATGCAAAGTACTTTGGTTTCTGAAACAAAATCAAAGCATTTATGTAGTGCATACCACTAGTGCAGCTACTTGGGAGGCTGAAGAGGGAGGACTGCTTGATTCCAGGAATTCAATCCAGCCTGGGCAACATAGCAGAACGGAAGGACAGAAGGAAGGATGGAAGGAAGGAAGGGAGGACAGAGCCTATTTCCAGTTTGAATTAAAAAACAAACAAACAAACAGCTGTTTCCAAATGAGAAAATGTTTTAATTCCTTTTTTGGTAAAGAGAACAGAGTAAAACAATTTTGCAAGCTTCACATTCTAAAGCTTGACTTTCTGTTTATAACTCACGGTGACATTATGTTCTAATTTTTAAAAAAAGAATGTTTTCAATACAAATTTGGTAAATATGCTGGGCAACATGGCTTATGCCAGTAATCCCACACTTTATGAGGCCAAAGCAGGCAGATTGCTTGAGCCCGAGTTCGAGACCAGTCTGGCCAACACGGCAAAACCCCATTTCTACTAAAAATATAAAAATTAGCCAGGTGTAGTGGTAACCCCAGCTGTAATCCCAGCTAATCACAAGGCTGAGGCATGAGAATTGCTTGAGCCTGGGAAGCAGAGGTTGCAGTGAGCTGCGATTGTGCCACTACACTCCAGCATGGGTGAGAAAGCAACGACAACAAAAAACAACAACAACAAACCTTGTCTCAAAAGAAAAAAAAAGCTTTGGTAAACTGTATGTTCGAAATAATATTATAGTCCTTATTCTCTTGTAAATTGTTTTAAACTAAGAAAACTGTTTTAAAACTAAGAAAAAAAATCGTAAGTTACTTAACATTTAGCAGAGCAAAATATAATACTGTACAAATACAGCAAAGCTGAATAATTTACTTTCATCCAGCAAACTGCTAATAATATAATAAACATAATGCCATCATCATCTATGAACCCAAATTATAATGTAGAAAGTTTAAAAAAACATTTACAACACAATGTCCTTCTTTATATAGAACCCAGGACAAACAATGAGTATTTCAGTATGTACAGTAGTGTTCAAAAGGAAGATATAAAATCTTCAGGAAGGTATTTACAGGATTTCAAAAATAAACTTCCTAACATTAATTACAACTGATCAAAATATGTCCTGAGTACTTACCACATGTAAGGCAGCATGCAGTGTACGAAATAAAGGTGAGTAACAGGACAATTTTTTACTTTAAGATTTTTTTCCCAGTCTAATAACAAATACACATACAAATACAACTATGCTACAGAAGGCTATGAATATGAGCAAAGAACTATGAGAATTCTGATGGAGAAGAACATAAATATACCTAGAGAAAATCACAAAATTCATAAACTTGTGATAAAATAAACCCTGAAGGAGGATAAATTTTCAATTAAGAGAAATAGTATATACAATAAAGGCATAATAAAATAAGTGGGACTGAAAGTAGTCAGCAATGTTTGATTTCTAGACACTGATGAGTTTCCAGAAAAGTTTTATAATGAAAAGAAGGGTAGGCTTATAGGCAAATTTCAGAAAGTTGAGTAATGACTGATTAGTTTGAGATTACTACTGAAACCCCAAGAGACAAGAGACTAAAACAGACCAAGGAGAGATCAAGAGATAGACTGAGAAGAGACACTCTAGAGAGCCTGAGTAATAGAGAGATAAAGGGAGAAGAAGAGACACCAACAGACACCAAGAAAGATGACTGAGAAGGACAAAGGGGCTGGGCATGGGAAAAGAGAGAAAAGAACACTATTATGGACTGAATACTTGTGTCTCCTCAAAATTTGTATGTTGTCCTAACCCACCATATGACATGAGGAGGTGGAAATTTTAGGAGATAATTAGGTCATATGAGTGAAGTACTCATGAATGGGGTTGGTGCCCTTATAAAAAAGACTGTGAAGAGTTCACTCCCCTTCTTTCTACCATGTGAGGGTAGAGTGAGAAGTCAGCAGTCTGCAACCCAGAAAAAAGCCCTCACAAAAAAACCCAAATATGCTGGGAGAAATAAAAGTATCTTGTTTAAGGCATGGAGTATACAGTATTTTGTTATAGTAGCCTGAACTAAACACACACAAACCTGAAGGAAAAAGTAAAGAATATTTTGTGGGTGTTGGGTAAAGAGGCATTGTGAATGCTTCCAAGCAAAAAGAAAAGCTAACTGAGAGGGAAAAAGAAAGACATCAGCAGGAGAGAAATTAATGAGACTAATGAAGCATCATCCCAGAAAAGGCATGCAAGGAGAGTTCAAAAAACCGCATGAGTTGATTCCTACAGGGCGATTTAACATAAAAAAGGAGCAGCTGAAGAAACACAAAATGAACAGCATTAATCAAAGTTAAGAGTAAAAGTTAGGTTATATGCTGAAATTCAATAAGATACAATCAAATACAAAAAAAAAAGCAAAACTTCAATAAATGTCTGCTGAAAAAGTAATAAAAAATAAGAGATAATTAAAAAAAAAATCAAATAAATAAATAAATCAGTCTCAGCCAAGTTCTGCTGAGCTGTTGTTAGCAGTCTAAATACAAAGAAAACATGCTTATCACATTTGTGGTTCGCCTTGGATTTTAACTGTCTGCTTGACCATCTCCAATTCTGACTCTTAAGCATCAGAATTGACTCTTAAGCATCAAACCACTCCTCAGCTATTCAAATCAAAATGTTAGATTCACCAAACATTTCATTATCCCTTAGCTCCAACATCCAGTCATTTCCTTCTCCTTCAGCCCCAATTATTTAGCTTGATAATTCTGGAATTATCAAACTAATCAACACTAAAAGTCAACCAAATCAAGAATGATGCTCACCGATACTGATATGTCCTCATTTCTTCTCTTAACACTGGAGTCAAACAAGACATTTCTCCCTCGTCTTTCACAGTCTTGATATACAATCAGTCGAATCTGGCTTGGATCAAACTCTGGTAAAGGCCAACTTGAAAGAAAAGTAAAGATCCATTAGAGTTATTTTAATAAATATTCCATATACATTCTTAGATATAAACCTATATAATAAAACCCAAAATTGTATTATTTTATCTTTATATAAAACATTACCAGTTCATGGCTGAAAACTAAAGAGTAAAAATAAAGGCAAAACAAAATTATTTTTATTTAAAAAATAACAGTGGCAATTATGACCTAGTATATATAAAATAGTTATCCTATGATTTTTAAAAGTATTAACTTAATAAATATACATGAGTATATTTAACATAATGAAAATATGTATGATTCCATGCCATGGACCAAGATGACACAATAAGGTTAACCCATATTTTTAAGTAGTTTAGTTACTATTTCTCCAGTATGGAAAAGTGAAAAATAAAACAGTTTTCAGTTTAAACACAAGACAAAAACAAGCAAAAAAAAAAAAAGTGGAGCGCAATCAAGTGTAGTGAAAATTCTCATATGCTACTTGTATGAATATAACTCATATGCTGCTGCTATGAATATAAACTCCTGGGTGTGGTGGCTCACACCTGTAATCCCAGCACTTGAGGAGTCCAAGGTAGGAGGATCACGTGAGCCCAGGAGTTCGAGACCAACCTGGACAACATAGTGAGACCCCCATCTCTACAAAAAGTTAAAAAATTAGTCGGGCATGACAGCATGCATCTGTAGTCCTAGCTACTTGAGAAAATGCACTGGGAGGATCATTTGAACCTGGAAGGTCAGGATTATAGCAAGCTGTCATCATGCCACTGTACTCCATCATAGGTGACAGAACAAGACCCTATTTCAAAAAATAAAAATAATCTCTAGAAAACAGGTTTTTAAAAATTTATACATATGTACTAAACAAACAAATCTCAATAGAAATGAAGTTGTTCCCAGCAATTCCACTCCAAAAAAATTTATCACAATGAATGAATTTCAGCTATAGGCAAAAATAGACAACAAGCAAAAAAGATGTCAGAGAATGACTCTCACACACACACACACACACACACACACACACAGATAGCTACTGTATTTTTCTACTTACATAGAGGTTAAAAATGGACAATGTTTGTCTAGGGGTTCATACTTAGTTTTTAAAACTATAAAGAAAACAAAGTAAGTAATGGCCTCAAGAGTTTGGAGAGTAATTATTTCTAGGAGTAAGGTAGAGGGAAAAGTGTAACCAGAAAGGGACATACTAGGTGAACTGGGGCAATGACTGTTTTCTATGTTTTTACCAGATAGTGCTGACATCTGGATCTTTACTTTACAATATATATTTAAACAGTACATCATATTTGTTTTATGCACTTTTATATATATGCATTACATTCCACAATTTAAAAGATTAATGGGGTGGGTGAGGTAAAGAAGGGAAAGAGAAAACAAACTGAGTGACAACTGTCTGGTGAACCGAACACAATACAAATGACAGGACAGCTGCTAGGCAATGGGAGAATGGATATGCTAGGAGCTGTTTCTCATTACTTACAACAGGCTATTTGTTTTTCATAATTTTAACTTTTATATTTGGTGGTATATATGCAGGTTACATGCATATATGTCATGATGCTGAAGTGTGGGGCACAATTGATGCTCTCACCCAGAAAGTGAGCATAGAACCCAACAATTAAGTTTTTCGACTCTTGCCCCTCTCCCTCCCACCTTGCTCTACTAGTCCTCAGTGTTTATTGTTGCCATCCTTATTTCCACGAGTATCCAATGTTCAGCTCCCACTCATAACTGAGAACATGAGGTATTTGGTTTTCTGTTCCTGCATTAATTCACTCACAATACTGGCCTCCAGCTGCCTCCATATTGCTGCAAAGGACAGAATTTCATTCTTTTTTAATTTTTTTTGAGACAGAGTCTCACTCTGTCGCCCAGGCTGGAGTGCAGTGGCACAATCTCAGCTCACTGCAATCTCCAGCCTCCAGGTTCAAGCGATTCTCCTGCCTCAGCCTCCTGAGTAGCTGGGATTACAGGCAAGCACCACCATGCCTCGCTAATTTTTTGTATTTTTAGTAGAGATCGGGTTTCACCACGTTGGTCAGGCTGGTCTTGAACTCCTGACCTCATGATCCACCCACCTCAGCCTCTCAAAGTGCTAGGATTACAGGTATGAACCACCATGCCCTGTCGATCTCATTCTTTTTTATGGCTGTGTAGTATTACATAGTACATACCTACCACATTATCTTAATCCAATCCACCACTGATGAGCCCCTAGGTTGAGTCCACGTCTTTGCTACTGTGCACAATGCTGCAATGAACATACAAGTGCATGTGTCTTTTTAGTAGATTTGTCTTCTTTTGGATATATACTCGGTAATGAGATCACTGAGTAGAATGGTAGTTCTCTTTCAAAGTTCTTGAGTTCTCTTTCAAAGTTCTTGGACAAATCTCCAAACCGTTTTTCACAGTGGCTAAACTACTTTCCCACCATGGGTGTGTAAGTATTCCCTTTCCTCCACAGCCTCAACAACACCCGTTATTTTTTGACTTTTTATTAATAGCCAATCTGATTAATGTGGGATGGTGTATCATTGTGGTTTTGATTTGTCTCTCTCTGATGATTACTGATGATGAGAATTTTTTCATGTTTGTTGGCTGCTTGGATGTCTTCTTCTGAGAGGTGTCTGTTCATGTCTTTTGCCCACTTTTTTTTCTTTTTTGAGATTGAGTCTCACTCTGTTGCCCAGGCTAGAGTGCAGTGTGGTATGATCTCGGCTCACTACAACTTCTGCCTCCTGGGTTCAAATGATTCTTCTGCCTCAGACTCCCAAATAGCTGGGACTACAGGTGCATGCCATCACACCCAGCTAATATTTTTTATTTTTAGTAGAGACGGGATTTCAGCTTGTTAGCCAGGATAGTCTCGATCTCCTGACCTTGTGATCTGCCTGCCTCGACCTCCCAAAATACTGAAATTACAGGCAGGAGCCACCACACCTGGACTGTCCACTTTTTATTGTGGTTGTTTTTTGCTTGTTGAATTGTTTAAATTCTTTTTTTTTTTTTTTGAGACAGAGTCTCACTCTGTCGCTGGGTGTCAGGCTAGAGTGCAGTGGTGTGATCTAGGCTCACTGCAACCTCTGCCTCCCGGGTTCAAGCAATTCTCCTGCCTCAGCCTCCTAAGTAGCTAGGACTACAGGCGTGGACCACCGCACCTAGCTATTTTTTTTGTATTTTGGTAGAGACGGGGTTTCACCATGTTGGCCAGGATGGTCTCGATCTCTTGACCTTGTGATCCACCCGCCTCGGCCTCCCAAAGTGCTGAGATTACAGATGTAAGCCACCGTGCCTGGCTAAATTCTTTATAGATTCTGTATATTAGACTTTTGTCAGAAGAACAGTTTGTGAACATTTTCTGCCATTGTGTGGGTTGTTCATCAGGCACAATTCTTCATTTCTTAAGAGAGCCTTATCTCTAACCCTGTCAACATATGTGAAACTATATATAACTAGCAACATAAAACATCTTCATCCCAAATTCTTGACAGAAAATACAATTTTAGTTTTCCTCTGTCTAATGTCTGTATGCTAGTAAATGATAAAGACCTACTTAGTTATCCAGGTGAAACCAGAGATTCTTCCTTATACCACACTGACTTGCATTACACTCAACTGTTTCTACTAAACTGTGCTTTCATACTAAGCAAAGGAATCTGTAAAGGAACAGACTAAGGATGAAAATAAGGAAAGTGATCTCATGGAAAACAATGAAAAAGAACATTTTAGAAAGGAAAAAGAAATACCACGGCAGTCACTAAAAAGCATCCACGACAAAAGCAAAAGTCATTGGTGACCATGGCAAGGACAGTTCTTTTTTTTTTTTTAATATTTTATTGCATTTTAGGTTTTGGGGTACATGAGCAGAACATGCAAGACAGTTGCGTAGGTACACACATGGCAGTGTGTTTTGCTTCCTTTCTCCCCTTCACCCACATTTGGCATTTATCCCCAGGCTATCCCTCCCCAACTCCCCCTCCCACTGGCCCTCCCCTTTTCCCCCCAATAGACCCCAGTGTTTAGTACTCCCCTCCCTGTGTCCATGTGTCCTCATTTTTCATCACCCGCCTATGAGTGAGAATATGCGGTGTTTCATTTTCTGTTCTTGTGTCAGTTTGCTGAGAATGATGTTCTCCAGATTCATCCATGTCCCTACAAACGACACAAACTCATCATTTCTGATTGCTGCATAATATTCCATGGTGTATATGTGCCACATTTTTCCAATCCAGTCTATCATCGATGGGAATTTGGGTTGATTCCAGGTCTTTGCTATTGTAAACAGTGCTGCAATGAACATTCGTGTACATGTGTCCTTATAGTAGAACGATTTATAGTCCTTTGGATATATACCCAGTAATGGGATTGCTGGGTCAAATGGAATTTCTATTTCTAAGGCCTTGAGGAATCGCCACACCGTCTTCCACAATGGTTGAACTAATTTACACTCCCACCAACAGTGTAAAAGTGATCCTTTTTCTCCACATCCTCTCCAGCATCTGTTGTCTCCAGATTTTTTAATGATAGCCATTCTAACTGGCGTGAGATGGTATCTCAATGTGGTTTTGATTTGCATCTCTCTGATGACCAGTGACGATGAGCATTTTTTCATATGATTGTTGGCCTCATATATGTCTTCTTTTGTAAAGTGTCTGTTCATATCCTTTGCCCACTTTTGAATGGGCTTGTTTGTTTTTTTCCTGTAAATCTGTTTGAGTTCTTTGTAAATTCTGGATATCAGCCCTTTGTCAGATGGGTAAACTGCAAAAATTTTTTCCCATTCTGTTGGTTGCCGATTCACTCTAGTGACTGTTTCTTTTGCCGTGCAGAAGCTGTGGAGTTTGATTAGGTCCCATTTGTCTATTTTGGCCTTTGTTGCCAATGCTTTTGGTGTTTTGTTCATGAAGTCCTTGCCTACTCCTATGTCCTGGATGGTTTTGCCTAGATTTCCTTCTAGGGTTTTTATGGTGCCAGGTCTTA